CCCTCTAATAACCACTATAATTTTCTTAGAATCCAGTCGTTTTCTTTTTGTTTGCTATTATTTGCTCCATTTGCTTTGGTTATTTATATCCCATATGTGAGAGAATTTTTACTTTTTAACTTATTTTATTTGGCATAATCACCTCAAATTCTACCATGTTGTTGCAAAAGGCAAGGTTTCATCTTTTTTATGACTGAGTAGTATTCCACTGAGTATATGTACTGTTACTTCTTCCTCCAGTCCTCCATCAGTGGGCGGGTTGATTCCATGTCTTAGTTATTGTGCCTAATGTTGCTAGGTCTGTAAATCTTTTCAAATTCGTGTTTTCACATTCCATGGATAAATATTTAGAAGAGGTATTCCTGGATTCTATAGTATTTGAAAGAATCTCCACACCCTTTCCACAGGACGCCCTCACCCCTCTGTTCAAAGCAGGCTTCTCTCTCCTGGGGAGCTGATTTCTCATGGGGAGCCAATTTCAGTTTCTCCCCAAGGAGATAACCTCTGTCGCTGTGCCCCCGAGGCACACACTCGCCCTACAGTGCCTCCCTGTTGTCTCTGCCCCGCAGAGTTCTGTCGTCTGGTCTGTCTCTCTGCCAGCAGCACATTGATCTAGCTGCTGCACATTTCTAAGCCCTGCTCTTAGGGAGAATTCCTTCCTCAAGAGTCTATCCGTTCTTCTTGCTCTGCTTTTCCATATGAATTTTAGAATCAGTTACTAAGGTCTATGAAAAACCATTATAAGATTTTTAATTTGTAATATGTTTTGCAATTTGGGGAGAATTGCCACCTTTACAATTTTGAATCTTATCCAAAAATACAGTATATCTCTCTATTTTGACCTTCTTTAATAGCTTTCAATAAAATGTTCTACTTTTCATCATGAAGAGCTTACACTGGAGACTTACTCCTACATCTGCTCTCATCTGATGCTGTTGTAAATGGCATCAGTTTTAAACTTCAGCAGAGACAGAGTGGGGAGCAGAACAGGCCGACTGATGAAGTACACTGCTGAGGGGAGCAGGGGGTTGTCAGGAGAGGTCTGCCGCGCCCTGTGGGTCACCTCCAGGGCGGGGATCGAACTCATGCTGAGGTGGCTTTAGCGTCTTAGTGCTGTGTTTTAGCCCACTGCGCCACCAGGGAGGGCCCCATTCTTTTTGATAGTCGACAGTTCAAATAGACAATATAGCATCTGCAATGACCCATTTGTTTCTTATTCTCTGATTCTTATAACTTTTGTAACATTTTCTTATTTAATATGTTGGTCTGATTGTAGCGTGTGTGATTTTACATGCAGTGGCTTTAACCCTCTCTTAAAGGAACAGTTTTCACTAGTGAATGTTTACTGTAGATTTCATCACTAAGACTTTTCTTCTACTGGGCTTTGTTTGCATGGATGACCACTTTAAATTCATGTGGTTTGTCTTTTGATATCTTTATTATTGTATTTATTATCTCCTTTTTCATTATCTGTCAAGAAGTTGTATTACACTTTCCTTATGAAATCAACCCTCCATATCTGAGCTTACATTCGAAGTTGTGACTTAATTTTTGATACAGTAATTTTATATGCAAGTTCATGTGAGCTCTGCCTGTTGCTTTCTTTTCACAGAGTGGCCGTGTCTGGACTGATAGTGGTGCCATGTCTGGCTTGCTTAGTAGCGTGGGCGGTGTCTGCTATTTTCCAGTTTTCTAGAAGAGTGGCAAAAAGGCCTGACTGCTCATTACAGAACTGGTCTGTAAAGCTGCCCGGCTTGTTCTGTTCTGTGTGTGAAGATTAACTTTAGATACTGAATCTGTTCGATGGAGATAGGGTTATTCAAGTCCTTGTTTCTTCTTGAACCTATTTTGATGAGCTGTGTTTTCTAGGATTTTTTGGCCTTGCATCGGTTTTCAAAATTATTAGCATAAAATTGTCAGCAGTGTATTCTGATGACTCACCTGAGCTGGTCCCTGCTCTGTTCACACCGCACTGCCTCTTTTATCGTATCCCAGGAGAGATGTGTCAGTATTCGTCTTGATAGAGAAGTGACCTTGCAGCTGCTTTGTACAGTATTTTGTTATATTAATATCTTTGCTTTTCTGTTCATTTATACCTTTTATTCTGCTTTCTTTGGGTTTATTTTTAATCTTATTTTATGCCTTCTTAAATTAGATGCTATTTTATTCATTTTGGTGGTTTATTATTATTTTTTTTAATGTAAGCACCTAAGGCAATACATGACCCTCAAAGTATATCTTAAAAAAAAAAAAAAAGATTTATTTATGCTTACAGAACTGGGGCACAGGCCAGGGTAAGAGGATTCACCAGAGACAGAGTGGGGAGCAGAAGAGGCCGATCCCCTGAAATACACTGCTGAGGGGTACGGCCTGGAGACGTCTGCTGCTCCTGGTGGGTCAGCTTCCTGCTGGGGATGGAACTCACGCTGCAGTGACTGTGGACTGCTTCATAGTGCTGACACAATCCCTGTGCCGCCAGAGAGGCCCTCAAAGTGTATCTTACTTGAGTTTTGCAATTCTGAAACCATGTTTTCAAAAATTGTGCTGTAATCCACATAGTATAAAATTTGCACTTCAATGTGTAATTGACAGTGTGGTAAAATACTGTCACTATCTGACTCCAGAACATTATCACGACTTCAGCTGTTAGTGGTCACCCCATCCTCTCCCTTCCTCAGCCCCTGCAACCTCCGCTGCCATGTTTGTCTCTGTAGACAGCCTGCGCTTGACATACCAAACTGGCAGAATCACATAACATGGGACCCGGCTCCCCTCAGCACTGTCGGAATTCACCCTGTGTAGATGCGCCCCGTCACGCGTTACCATCGGGGACACACCGCACCCCGCTTAGGGCCCTTGTGCCTGATGCGCCGTGAATGTCCTTCCAGTCTGTGCACGGCCTTCGTCTTCTTGAGGTGCCCTTTGAAGTACGGGGGCTTTTCATTTTGATGATGCCCACTTTTGTGTTTTCTTTTG